GGGGGGGGAGCGCCGCCAGGCAGCCAGAGCGGCGGCGTTCAGCTGGCCCGTGTCCCCATGTCCACTGTCTTCCGGTCATAGCTGGCCCAACCGTGTGTGTGTGTGCGTGAATGGGTGGTTGGTTGATGGATTCAAGCCGAGTGACTGCGATATCCCGGAGCGAACGATCACTGTCCGACCGCTGCCAGCTGTCACGGGACTGCAGGACACGGACGGTCCGCCGCGCCCTGCCTTCAACATCCACACATCTCGCACCCATCCCATGTGCATGTTTATCCTCTTCCTCACATTCTATCGACAACGAAATACCTCACACTGATTCCGCGCGTCTTTCACTTTTGTGGTGCGTACAGCTCCCACTGCCTTTGATTGGTTTTACCAAAATGTATGTCAGAAATCCTTACCTCAAGTTGCGTTTCTACAAACAAGACCTTTACGTGATTTTCGTATGTTGGGGATTTTGTTGCTTGTAACGGCGCTTGCTTGGTCTGAAGTAGTAACACCTGGAAAATTGTCGTTGGTAAGCCGTCTGGTTTTCTACCTTCTCAATTCATTTTGAATAGCCCAGTTGCCTGACCACTCTTGATCCGCTGACACGCGACGCTTTTCTTCCGCGTATCGGTGGGTAATGCCTCCCAGTATGCCCCCCCCCCCCCCCGCTTTCCTTCACCGATGATCTCAGCGGCGGCGGATAATGAGCGGCCCGACTCTGGAGGGCTTGACGGAGCCCCTAGTGTAGAGTAGAACGTAGCTAGTCCCCCTATCGTCTCGGCGCTCGAACGTCCCCCCCCCCCTCCCGCGCCACCATCGTGGTGCCCCCATTTCATCCCCGACCGACACCCTCCCCTCCCTGGCGAGAAAAGACAGAGTTTGCGCAGGTTTCTTTCATCCGCGATCGCTCGGGACGGTGCGGAACCACTCTGAAAATTTGCTCACGTTGCCTGCGGGGTGTGTGAGAGAGTATTTATTGGTGGACTGTCCGTTTCCTGTTTTATTGTCGACGTGAAAGGCGCAGCCGGTGTGTTATCAGCCACTGCCACCGCCACCGTTGACAGTGGGCGTGCCGACTGGCCTTGTGGGAAGCGTAGCGCCGTCCGTTGCGGCCGCTGCCCTGTCGCGCCGGAGCGTCCGTGCGCGCCGTCTGCGTGTGTCGTGAGTGTACATAGGGCGCCGGCGACCGGTGGGCCCGTTCCATTGTGATGATTCTCACCGTCGTTGGTAATAGATCAGTACATACACATGAAACGCGCGCGTAACTCATCTGGGGTACGCTGTCGTACTTCCCCACCCCGAGCAGAGCGCTGGAATAGTGGTGGGCTGAGGGGAACACGAGCGAGCTGCTCGCGACGTCACCCGCAGCTGCCGTCAGGGCGGATCGCGACGTCACCAGTCGGGGGCTGCCGTCAGCTGAGGATCGCGACGTCACCAGTCGGGGCTGGCGTCAGCTGGCGAACCGTGACGTCACCAGGCGGGGCTGGCGTCAGCTGACGGATCGCGACGTCACCAGTCGGGCTGCCGTCAGCTGGCGAAGGCTTGTCAACGTGAACAGAGGCCCGGATGCATGCTCAAGCCAAGCGCGGTGGCGCCCCCCCAAAACGTAATGTTATTGCCCCAACTCGCTTCAGACCATTGCATAGTTGTACAGGGTTATTTATTTAACCAATTTCGCATCGTCTTTGTTGTACACCTTTTCTGAGTGTGCGGTCCTGTGTCGCATGGCGTTAGGCGGCATAAGCAGGATGAGCGGGATGGTTGCGTCGGCTACAGCGTTTTGCAGTTTAGGGCGGGACGGTTACACGTCCGGGTACTGTGAAGGGTGCACCGCCGACAAATTTCCACTATATCTGGTTTCCATGTGCGCACGATGGATTTCCTCATAAGGCCGGAAAGCCTGGTTGTAACACATCATATTTTCAATGCTAAGGCAAGAGCATGCTCTATGTAAAATACTTTCAGAGAAAGCCTACGGCAACCGTTAAAAACTGTCAGCCCACGTGGGCACCAACCGCTGGCACAGAGATAGGTTCAATATTTCTACGGCCTTTGCCCACCTTTGAGCTCTAGTCGCGAGAACTTTCAAGAAAGAGCGCAAAAACAGATGCAATACATATGGAGGGTTTACCTTCTTAACAGAACGAGCTGTATGTGCATTAGACATTTGCTAACAATACCATGAAGGCTGGACCTTACATATCAAGGAAAGTAAACAAATGAACAAATGCTTGAGTCAGGTAGCCCGTCTCAACCATACACCACACAGCAAACCTCCAAGCAGCCGGTATACCGACTTTGACAACAGAAACGGACATCACTCCTTCAGTTCAGAACTTACGATTCTTCAGTGCATGGTCGTTGGTACCAAGTTACGTCATGAGGTGCCTCTACTTATCGTGTGCATAAGGCAGAACATTGCCCAGCTTGGCTGGTTCGGCCCATTCCACGAGCTCAGCGAAAAACATATGTAATATGCAATTGCCATGCAACAGTCGACATGTTCCTTTCGATATTTGGCTACTAACCGTTTAAACGGCGGTAACATGTTGGTCCCTAACGTACGGCTACTGTGAGACTGTCATGGCAACCATTCATGGCTTCCGTTCAAGAGATAGTCAACTCGAAATCACCATGTTAACATTTCCGTGGCGCCGACGCGGCGGGAGCTGAGAGCGAGGTGCAGCTCCCCGCCCCCCCCCCCCCCCCCCTTCCCATCGTCCCATTCTGACAAACCCAGGACGCATGTTAAAGCTATTGGCAATTGCAGCCCGTTTATTGGAAACAATGTGGGAATACACACAGCCCCGTGCCATCCCACAGCCGACACTATCAGTCGATTGATGTAAACCGCCGTGCAGACGCAGCCTCCACGTGGCGCGTGGCCCGGGTGCCAGCCATCGCGAAGCCATACCGTGCTTGAGCAACAACCCGGAAGGCACGCCACGACAGCAGGCCGGCACAGTTCCTCCACGAGCCAGCCAATCCAAAAGATCGTCAAATAGCTGAAGCCTCCAGTAAACAAACCGATCCTCTTCGCACCATACGATCACACTGTCACCCGTCCGTGATCTACCATTCCTGCAAGGGCTCATCGGGCTGCCCTTCCAGCGGCCCAAAACGGAGCGCAGCGGTCGGCCGCCGCAGAGCGGTCACTCCCGGTCCGCGCCCGGCGCGTTCGGTCACCACGTGCCACGCCGGGGTCCCACTTCACCCCGGCGACCGCATCACGGCGTCTCGGGAATCTGTGGCCAGGTGGCTGCACAGTCGCGTCTCAAACCACCGCGGTAGTCTCTGTCTGCATCGCTCCAGTGAGCTGCAACGCGTCACACTGCCCGCTCACCGCCTGTCCCCCTCCAGTCCGCTCCAACTGGTCACACTGATCGCTGATCACCCGTCCGCCTCCAACCCGCTCCAGCTGATCGCACTGGTCGCTGACCACCTGTCCGCCTCCAACTCGCTCCAACTGATCGCACTGACCGCTCAAGGCCTGCCGCTCTTCAGTCAGCTTCACCGCCTCGCACGGCTCGCTGGGCGTCTGCCGCTGTCCGTCTCGCTCCAGCAGGTCGGCCGGCCCGGTCCCGGACGGCTCCTCTTCAGCTGCCGTCTGCCCGGCGCCAACCTGCTCCAGCAGGTCAGCCGTGATCAGCCGCAGCAGCCTGTCATTGTAGGCCACCAGCTGCTCCACGCCCGGCGCAGACACAACTCTGTCACCGGCAACAGCGACAGCGTGCGCGGCGTCAGCACCTGCAGCACCGTGTCCAGCAGCGCCAGCAGCGCCGGTGGATCACGGGCGCCGCGCAGCGCCACGCACGGCCGCGGCCGACCGGCCGGCGGCGGCAGGAGCGCCGCCCGCTCGAACAACGCCGCCGCCAGCTGCAGCAGGCCGATGTTGAGCCGGTGGAAGAGAAAGAGACCGCGCAGCTCGAGCGTCTCGCCCGGCCCGCAGCAGCGCCGCCGCCGCGCGCAGCGTCGTCACCGTGTCGGCGTCACAGGGCCACGGCTCGGCGCGGTCACGGCAGGGAGACGAGCACACACCGTCCTCGACGCGCGCCACCCGAGCGCCTCGCTCGTCGCCGGGCTCGGCCGGCAGGCACCGCGCCGCCGCCGCCGCCACGCGACCGTGCAGCTTCAGCAGACGCAGCGAGCAGAACTTGCAGGCGTGCAGCCGCGCCGGCGGCAGACCCTTCGGCGCGGCTGGCCGCCTGCCGGAAGTCGGCGGCGGCCGGCGCTGGCCGCCACTCCAGCTCGGCGGCCGGCGGCGGCGCGGCCAGCACGGCCAGCTGCCGGGCGGCCGCCGCCAGCCGGTCCCGGTCCGAACGCGGCCCGGTTGCGCTGCTCGTAGGTGCCGGTGCCGGCCTTGTTCTCCACCTGGGAGACAGCGGCGATGTCAGACGGCGGCGGGCGTGCGCTGCATGGCTGGCTGCAGGATGGCGCACGTCCCGATATGAAACCGCGGCCTCCGAGATATTTTCAAAACTCCTCACGGTCATCCACCAAAGCCCCATAGTTAATACAAACGATCAGGTTATGCATGATAGCTGGTGATGTACTCTTTTCATCAATCACAACCCAGCAAACAGTATCATACCATGAGTGAACTTAACACCTGGACCGGCTTTAAACCCCGTAAGCTACTTTGTGTGACGGCCGCCAGCACACGCTGAGTAACAACGAACAGTCCGGGAAGGGCTACTTGGTGAATGAGAGCGAGTACCGCCGCCGGCTATCAATCGTCCTCGACGGGACGAGACCTAACATTGTTGCACGAGCCGGTCTTCCTGCTCGCCGCGCGACACCGAACGGCTTCATTCCGAAGGCCGCGGCGCGACAGTCGGCTCCCGTCCCCCATTCAGGACAGATCGAGGCGTCCCTAGCTGGGCCACCCGCTCACCTGGAACGACGTTGTAGAGCCGGGGATCGACCGGGTGGCTCAGCTTCAGCGTCTTATCTATGGGCGCCAGGCGGCAGCGCTGCAGGAACTGGGCGGCGACCGCCTCTCTGACGGCCGTCCACCTCGCGCCAGGCGGCGCCATCCGCCCGCTCGTGCAGCTGCAGGTTCCGAGCGATCTCCGCCTCCTGTGACGTCTGGCAATCAACGGCCGGCGCCGGGTCACGTCAGGTCAGGTCAGGTCAGGTTCAGTGGGGAAGACGGCTCCCATCACGGGCAACAAACGGACAGCATGTCAGCACCATGGACGTCTGCTATTCGTAACGCTGAGTAGACAGGGAATAGTTAAGTGGACTGAACAAAACACCGAGTTATGAAGTGTAAGCTATGTCTGGAAGCAGCTCTCTTCTCCACCTCTCACTCTCTCTCTCTCAGCTCTCTCAGGAAGAAGAAGACTCCAGATCTCTCCACATGATTGTTTGTGTATTTGCACCTTTGCACTGACGGCAAAAGAAATGTGAACAAGGCAGGTCCGGCTACAAAGCGTCTCTCACTTTCTCTCATCGCCGGCTGCCGCTGTGAACAGCCTTTGACACCAACCTTGAACAGCCTGGCGCACTGCACCAGCTGTTCGGATGAACGTGTCGGGCACGTGGTGTCGGGCGAAGAGCGGCTGGCGGCCGTCGGCCCCGTAGCGCCGCCGCCACCGCTCCAGGTGGCCGCCGCTGAGCGGGCCCGCCGCCAGCCGTCGGCACATCACGTACACCTCCGAGTTGCCCGACTTGCTGCACGACGGCTTGACCACGCTCACCTGGCCGACATGGGTCAGGGGACGGTCAGGGCAGGGGGACAATTGCCTGGCCGCCGGAGAGCGGCTATCGAAATCGGTACAAAACAGCGCAGATCCATGAAAACGAAACTAAACTTGAGACAAAGCTGGCACCTGTCACACGGTTTTTCCCTTTCCACGTTTGCCAATGCGGCGTAGGACGGTGAACGCAGCAGAGTATTCCAAATGTCACGCGGATGCCCTTTAATCGGGCTAACCTGTTGGAACAGCACCGCACCCCTCCGGCGGCGTGAAACATGTTAAATTTATCGTCAGGCGCCTTCGAGCGTGCGTGACCGCTACGGTCAGCGCGGCAACCCCGCCACATGACCCCTGGACACGCACACGCACGAGGCGCCGCTGCACGGCTGTTTCGGGGCGGCTGGAGCGGCCGCGGACGGCCAGCAGCCGACCCACCTCGGCGAAGCAGCAGCTGAGCAGGAACAGCAGGCACACGGAGCCGGACTCGTAGAACGTGAACATCTTGACGACCAGCGTGCCGCCGGGCTGGAGGGCACGCAGGGCGCACCACACCTCGCAGTGGTGCAGGCCAGCCACTATCCGCTCCTGCTCGGCCGGCTCGCCCTGCCACAGGTCAGCGGGTCCCGTGTCACGCTCACGCGCCGGATACACGTCGCGGCCAGGTCCGTCCCGGTCACAGTGTGCAGGTGTGGCTGAAGCTTCCCTGGCGGGATGGCCTACAGTGTACGAACGGGGCAGAGACTCTGGAGGCAAATACGCTGTCGTGACCAAACCAGGCTTCAAAGACCCACCTGAAGCCGAACAAGAACGTGGAGCCGAAGCCTAAGCCCACGCCAGCGGCTATGCATTTTTGAAACGTGATAATTATTTCGTTAACACGAAACCGAAGCTGAAGTCAGGGGCTTCGAACTTGCGAAACGGGCAGCCAAAGCTGACCCCATTAGTTAAGACATGGCTTCGGCCTAGTTATTTTAGTGTACGACGACGTTTTCCTACACGAAAATCGTCTCCCGTCTGCTGAAACTGTATGTATGTATGGCGTCACAAAATATCATCAGGGTCTTGCGGGGTGATGCGGAGTGATTGAGACAGACGAGTTAGCATTACGGACGTACTATTTTTTTCTGACTAAAAACCTCTTCTTGTACATAAGTCTGTGCCCACCGTTTCCAACGCTCAATTCTCAGGCCGTCTTCCGCTGCTACTTTTGGCTTTCAGACATATATTGACCGAAGCCTCGAATAGGCGATTGCCTTTGTGTTTCCTTTTACTGTATTCTTTAGCAAGGCCGCAACTGCAAAGAAAACTATCATGAAAAAAGTGCACCGAGCAATTCAAGATCGCATGAAACCAAAGCTAGAGCCAGGATTAAAAAAAAAAAAATACTTGGAAGCCGAAGTCAAGCCTGCGCACAAAACTAACACAAAAATAAAGCCATAGCCGACCGCTGAAACTGGCGTAAAGATGAGACCAAAGCCGGTCAGCCGTGAGAATCCGCTAAAAGCCGAAGCCGAGCCGACACCACTGCAGGAAAAACTGCGGGTTCGCAAACCGAGAACCGAAGAAGGCTTCGTTCCACTGCTGTCGTGGCTCTATAAACATCAGTGACGTTGGCCCCCTCCAGCCGCGTCCGCTCGTCGTGCGAGATTCGAATAAAATATCCCGGAAACTGTCTGGCCTTCCTTCACAGCATAGCAACACGACACGCAGAATACCAAGAAACGTACTATTCCAGCGCATACGATCAAATCAAGCAATTTCGCGTGTTGGATAGCACCTGGTTTGTCGTCAGTGACGCTCAAATAAAACAATTTCGCCGCGTTCAGTCGCGCCTGGTTTGTCGCCCGTACAGCTCAAAGCAAGCAACTTCGCTGTGTTCGATGGCGCCTGCTTTGTCGCCAGTATGCAAACAAACTCATCTGCCCACGCACGTGCTTTACCCACCAAACGTCTAAACACGATCGACCACGCACCGCATGCTGTAAATTTTGCCGCTAAGCTAAGCCGAAACAAAAACACCCCACTTGTCTTTGGTAACAGTACTTCCGTATTTTAATGCCCACTCGGGGAGCTGGCGAGGAACGTTCGGACCTAGGGGAATTTGCGGGGTCAGTAATTGGGGCGCCACAGTCTTTGTTCATTCAGGAAATCGATGTTATCATTAACAGTCACGCAAAGAAATAGATAGCGGTGAAGACGTAATTATGTGTGCCATTACGACCAGTGGAGGTTTAGGTGCATCGACAGCGACGGCCATCAACGCCCATAACTTGTGTGCTACTCGGTAGGCATGTACGCAAATGACCGCGGGCGTATAGGCCACGCAAGCAACATGTACATCAGCAATCAAGCTTGCTCACGTTCCTGTGCCGAAGCGCTCCGACATGGGGGCGAGCACCGTATGGCACGCGGCTACACTTGCAGGTTCACCAGCAAACAGTGTAAGTGAATGTGAAGCGATGGCACGATGACTGTATCGATGCTGACAATCGATGTAAGCTACTATTCGCGACAGCGAGTACTCGTGAAAACCATGTGCACTGCTACCGCGGCGAGGCGATCCCCATGATGATGTAAGAACGACGCACGACCAAATTTAGCCGCACAAAATTATGATGAGGCTCATTCATGCCATCACAATAGCAGGTTGGTAGGAAAACAAGGCACGCAACATGCAGCAAACGAGCGCAAAATATGTCATAGCTTCGTTACGAACCAAGACGCAGCAAACAGCCCAATATGCACATAACAACCCCTAATAACGCAACAGACACCACATGAGTCGGCTCCGTTGTGAGCGGGCAATTCGGCGGCCTGGAGTCCGGCCAACGACTCCACCCAGCTGCAGCCGACTGACACATGTCCGGAGTCACGGGAGCCACGAACAAGACAGGTGTGTAGCGCCACGTCAGGGCTCGGGGCCTGCTCACCCGCCCGGCCCACTCACCGGTCTCTGCCCCCTCCCCTCCCCGCCACACGCCGCCACGTCAGGGTCCGGGGGCTGCTCACCCGCCCGGCTCACTCACAGGTCTCCACCCCCTCCCCTCCCCCGACACGCCGCCACGTCAGGGTCCGGGGGCTGCTCACCCGCCCGGCTCACTCACAGGTCTCCACTCCCTCCCCTCCCCCGACACGCCGCCACGCCAGGGCCCGGGGCCTGGTCACCCACCCGGCTCACTACAGGTCTCCACCCCTCCCCTCCCCCGACATGCCGCCAAGTCAAGGCCCCGGGCCTCCTTACATGTACGGCTACGCTTACCAGCCTCTGTCCTCTCCCCTCCTCTCCCCGACACGCCGCCACGTCAGGGCCCCGGGGCTGCTTACATCCATGGCTACACTCGCCGGTCCCCACCCCCTTCCCTCCCCGATACAACGCCACGTCAGGGCCCCGAGCGTGCTCATCTGCTCGGCTACGCTCACTGGTCTCTGCCCCCCCCCCCCCCTCCCCGATACAACGCTACGTCAGGGCCCCGAGCGTGCTCATCTGCTCGCCTACGCTCACTGGTCTCTGCCCCCCCCCCCCCTCCCCGGTACAACGCTACGTCAGGGCCCCGAGCGTGCTCATCTGCTCGCCTACGCTCGCCGGTCTCTGTCCCCTCCCCCCCCTCCCCGGTACAACGCTACGTCAGGGCCCCGAGCGTGCTCATCTGCTCGCCTACGCTCACCGGTCTCTGTCTCCCCCCTCCCCGGTACAACGCCACGCCAGGGCTCCGAGCCTGCTCACCTGCTCGGCTACGCTCACCGGTCTCTGCCCCCCCCCCCCTCCCCGGTACAACGCCACGCCAGGGTTCCGAGCCTGCTCACCGGTTTTTTGCCCCCCCCCCTTCCCCGCCACGCCGCCACGTCGGGGCCCCGGGCCTCCTTACATGTCCGGCCACGCTCACCGGTCTCTACCCCTCTTCCCGGTACAACCACACGTCACGGCCCCGAGCCCGCTTACCTGTCCGGCCACGCTCACCGGTCTCTACCCTCTTCCCGGTACAACCACACGTCACGGCCCCGAGCCCGCTTACCTGTTCGGCTTACCTTACCTCACCGGTCTCTGCCTCCTCTCCCGTCCCTAACCTACGGCCTATCTCCCCCGTCGCGAGTCACCGAGCCTGCCTCCGCCTTCACCCGTGAATCTCGTGCCGCCCTCCCCCGCCCTGGCTAGCCCGCGGCGTCTGACATCTGACCCGCGCCCCGGCCACTGACCTGACAGTCCACGCTGCCGTCGGCCGTCACCAGGTTGACCCCGGCGCCGGTGACCTCGATCAGGTGGTCGGCGTTGGCCGGGTTCATCAGGTCGCCCGTGTCGTCGGCGCCGAAGTGCCAGCGTGACAGGGTGTGCAGGATGAACCGGTCGTCCGAGATCATACGGCTCAGCGGGTTGGCCTCGTAGTACGGGTTCAGCGTGGTAGCATGCCAGTCCCACTGTTGACGGGGCGGAGTACGGGGTTTCACGGGCTTCTCGGGTGTCATATTGGAGAACACAGCTGCACGGAGGTGTCAGCGGTTTCGTTTACTTACACTAATGACCCGTCCGGGGAAATCTTGAGAAACGTTACGCGCTTCTCCATAAGTGCATGCTTCAAAGGCCGACGTCAAATGAGCAGCTGTTTCGAGACTTCTGATAATTCACCATTCGAACAAAAAACATCACAAGAGCTCCTTTGCACCATGCTGCATAACCAAGGCGAGACCCACGGGAGCCCCTTCCTTTTCGTCCGACAACACCAAAGAACAACGGTCATCGATTCCCGGCCGCGGCCTTCGCCAATGTCGCGAGCATACAACCGAGAGCCCGGCTGCCGCATGCGCTGCTGCGTATTCACGGCCGCATTGTCCCGGTCCGACGACCGGCCCGACTCGTCACACAAAACTCGGGACAGAAAGAGACGGCGAAAGCCGGGGACGTCAGAGTATTGAGCCATTGACCTTGTTGCCTGGCGACCGATACACACGACCGCAATGAACTCTGAATGCTGAGCATATCGAGTTAACGGCGACGTGGTAACGGCGTCGGCAAAGGTGGACCCATGTGTGACGGACGTCGCGGACACCTTCGCCACCGGCCGGGTCTGCGGTGCGGCTTCAAGCTGGACTGATGAGCGACGGACGTCACGGAGGCCGTCAACGACACCTTCGCCACCGGCAGGGTCTGCGGCGCGGCTTCAAGCTGGACCGATGCGCGACGGACGTCACGGAGGCCGTCAAGGACACCTTCGCCACCGGCCGGCTCTGCGGCGCGGCTTCAAGCTGGACTTTCCCGAAGTATCCGTGCCAGAGGTCCCAAACCGCCCGCATGGCGCGCACTTGAGAACCTCGCAGCTCCTTCGCCTCAACGTGGTACTTACTGGTACAATGGTGGCCCGGAAACCTGGCCGCGTGCGACAAATCCGATCAATCCACAAAATCGATTGATGATGGGCTCCGGACGCTGAAATGACTATTTTGAGCGCGAAGAGCTTTGCTAGCACGTGCAAATATCGATCAGCAGCCATCCCCGCACACCACATGTATGCGCAGCCGAATTGTAGAGGTAAGACTGTACAGCCGCTGAGGGCCTCTCATGCTACAACCGAATTGCTGAGGTACTACCGTACAGACCCTGAAGGCCGCTCACACTACAGCCGATCGCAGAGGTAATACCGTACAGCCGATGAAGGCCCCTAGCATTACAACCCACCGCAATCCGCCCATCTCCCAATCGATGTAATGCGCATGAGCTAGACAACTCTAATTTCTGGGTGACATCACAAAGGTGATCTGGCTAATGTCGCAGCATTGGCCCATCAAGCACGGCGGTGCGGTGCTCGGCATCCCTGCGGTGCAGTCTTGATCACTACACCGCCGTCCAGACGCCCGTCAAGGCCGGCTGGCACGCAGCCGGCGGTGCAGATCTCCTAGCCCTGGCGGGAAGGAGCGCTCCTGTGACCCATGGTCAGCCCGCTTCCAGAGGACGCGTCGCGGAGCCAAAGACGCTGTTTATGGCCGGCAGTACCCGCGAGCCCGCTGGCGCGGGCGCTGCAGTTGGCGCAGTGTTGATCGCGGGTCCAGGCGATCGCTCCTCAGTGCTGCCAACTCCCGAACAGTGTGAGATCCTTCAGAGACGGACTTGAACCAAACATCTGACACCTGCCCAATCTGCGCATCATCACGCTGCGCGGCGGTGTTTAAACTGACTCCAAATCAGTGCCACCGACTGCACAACATTCGTGCTGCAGCAAAAACTTCTGCCGACAGCTGTGCTACGACCCAACTTCTACTGCCAATAGTTACACACATTGGTCCTACGCGACAAAACTTGGTGCCAGTACTAGAAAACTTGCACTGGAGCATTATATATGCTACGCGACAAAACCCGATACCAGTACTAGAAAACCTGTACTGGAGCATGATATATGCTACGCGACAAAACTTGGTACCACTATTAGAAAGCTTGTACTTGAGCATTATATAAATAATTGCAGTTGAAGTAATGACACGCTTCAATGAAGGCCAGATCAGTGGTTTAGCTTTGTATTCAGTGGGAGACCCCATTCACAATTCATCTGTGATATGAAGGTGTGCCACATTCGGGGCAAACACCGCGTATAGCGTATTTTGGGGCAGGTTTGGTTGTTTCCCCTGTTCAGCTTCCACGCTTGTTCTGCAACTCCACGACAGTGAACCACACCTCTGTTCGGTAAAAGAGATGAATTGCCGTCATAGGTTTAGCGCTCGCAATGTTTACGGCAGGAATAATGTTTCGATTCCATGGAGTGGGCGACCTCCAGCCTGACTTCGCCCAGCCAAGTGTTGCGATGAGTTCTTTTCCTCCGGAACTTTGGCCAGGCTTAATTCATGGGTTGGAGCACTGATGGTTAAACTTGCGCCCATATCGCGTAGTCTTTGTGCGAGAAGTAATATCGAACATACGTAAGGACTGTATAGGTTTCTGCAACAGGAAAAATGAAGGCCATAATCTCTTAATAGAAGTTTTTGATTGCTTTTCAAGCTCTGTTGAGTAGCACAGGGGTGTAGCTTCCTTTTTAGTTGGGGCAAGGGGATGAAGCCCCAAAACCTTCGGAAGAAAATGGGCCAAATCTGGGAGAAACCGGCTCCTTGGCATACTTTAAGTGTGGGTTGGGTCATTTTTTCACGGTTCAGCCACCACCTACACCCATCTCATTTCGTGAAACTACGTCCCTGGTACAGCACTAAAGTCACATATAGCTCCTCGGAGTAGAAGTACGTCACATATGAGTAAAGGGAATGTTGTATAAGCCTGCTACAGAAGCATTGACGGGTATAGCTTTTTGCAGTATAAGTTTGGTCGTGAACCACTCATGTCGTGCATGAGTTTTTGCAGTGGAAGTAACGTCGAATGCACGTAAAGACTATATAAGTTCTTGCAGTAGATGTAATGAAGTGTATAAGTTTCTGAAGCATAATTTTGTCGTGCGGCACTCCTGTCGGAAGGAGTCTTTGCCGTAACATCAATGTCGTGATAACGGTTAAACTACCGCTAAAAACGGATCAGAGGCCAGTTTTATAAAAAGAATACCCTCAGCGCAGGCAATTTTTCTCAGATCTTCCTCCTCCGAGTTTTATAAAGCACGGAGTAAAAAAATTATCCTCCATGAAAATCCTCCGTCGTCGGGAGCGCTTTTTCACCATCGAGTTTTATAAACAAATTGTGCGGCGAGAAGCGCAATGGTAAATGCGCAGTTATTGTAGAAAATGGGCCGATAAAAAATCAACCTCGTCGCTGCGTTTTTTTAATCAAGGCCGACGTACTTTTATCAAAATGCGCCCTAAGTAGGTTGCAATGGCTCAGAAACTTAGCTTCAGGGTGCATGCATCTACATTGCTTGGCTTGTATCGTTTTGTCCCCACCCGATTGATGGTGAAATCAAAATAAGGCTACATCAGGCTAAGGGCAACAGGCTACTGATGAGGACCAGCGGTGTACATCATGCTCCGAGATGCCTTTGTGGTACCTTGGTTCTACCCCATGCGTGTAAGACGCACAAGCATAGACTACAAGGAACGTCGCTGAAAACATTGCCCAGGATTCAGGAACATGCTACAGCGTACAGGTGGGCCTCGATTTATAGATATTTGCACTTTTGCTGGATAAATCACAGCTTTACCCACATTTCAACATCTTGCTGATTGTAGCACGCTAAGACACAGACACTACGCCGCCCCCCCCCCCCCCCCCGGGGGGGGGGGCGGCGTAGCAGTGCAACCTCTCTAGATGCTGGATGGAGGGGAGGGGGAGTTTATGTCAAAGCTTGCCCTTATTTGTGCGACAGTTCTCCCTGCCCCCACCTCCTCTCCCTCCCCATTCATGGCCCATGCTTGGGTGGTAACCAGTGGTCTGAAGTCACGAATGAGTACCTGAAGCATTTGTATTATTTCTAGTGGTTAGGGAAAGGGGAACAACACAATGCTTCAGCGGATAGATATCTTAAAAGGCCCTTTGAACTAGTCATCTTAGATGTATACAGTGGACTAAATGTCTCCTTTTTATATGCAACTTAGATGGCATTGCTATTTGCTTCCCTGGTTGCGATTGCTTGCCCCTCTTTCTGTGAAGTCAGTGATTTATCTAGCGGCAGCCCCCCCCCCCCTCCACATCCGGCCCACCACCTTTACACTCCTTGGCAGCAGCATAGGTTCAATAGTTTCTATGATGAAGTTACCTGTTGCTCCCCCCCCCCCCCTAACCCCTGGTGCACCAGATAGCCTCTCTCACCCCTGTGCTGACTAAGTTGTGACGAAACCGCGACTAATGGCTGCATTCATTCAGATTTGCCCTCATGTGCTAAAGTACCTTGTCCAAGTATGCATAACTGTACTGCTTACATTTTGGTATGGAATAGCAATATGACAAACAAAAAGGGGAGGGCAAAGGCTACCCTCCGGATCAAAGCAGCTAGGTTGATGCACACCTCCGCGTTGTCAAGTTCCCATACATGCAATGGACACTAATACAATGAGAACAGGCTAAGGCTGTGAATGTTCCCCAATCATTAGACTGATAGCATATTTTGCTATTGACAATGTTAATTATATTATAGCACATAATCCACAGCACATAATTAAACAGGGCAGCCCCTATGAAACCCTACTGCGCCCCTGTTTTCCATCACTTTTAACTAATGTTCGCTGTGGGCTCCTCGGCGATGTTGTGGGCCACAGGTTGCTTGAGGCTGCACGTGGGACTGGAAGATCAGGACACAGTGTTCCATGATTTTTATGAGACCTTAATTTTATGTTTCACCTGGTGGGTTTGGAGGTACTAAATCTAATCGGGTATAGGTCCCCATCCATTAATATCATTCCTATTCCATTTCGAACTCAAGGTTTTTGCATTTTAAGGTGATTGTTGAACACCCCCTCCCCTATCGCTGTTGTATGCACTTGTGTTCAACTAATATATA